AAGAGCTAGAGCAATAAAGTAGGGATTTTAGGAAAGCGGATTATCTTCTCGGGGAAGCGGTGCTCTTTCGCATAAGCCCTTTGTTAAGTAAGGTGATATTGCTCTTTATTTGCTGCTTTCCCTTCTGGAAAGTGACTTAAAGAAAATAGGTGAAGTAAGATCCCCCCGATACAAGCGAGCTAAGGGGCTTGAAGTTATCCCAATACCAGAGAGACACTTCACAAAGTGTGATACTAATGGTTAGGGGGATGGTAGTAACCCAACTGCAAGCACATGAACTCAATATACCAATAGTTCTCTGCCCGCAACCCCAGCTCCTACTTTGAATGATAGAATGATTCAAAAGGGGCATACGTACGGCTTTGACTAAACGACTAACTAAGGCTAACAGAATAACAAAATTGGAAGCAGACGTAATCGAAAGAAAGCTTGGGCGAATGGAAGGGGCCTTGCAACAATGGAAGGCTTACGGGATAGGGCCATACTCATATAAAAAATTTCCTAACAAAATCAATTAGGGGTGATAGACCCGCGAAGCAAAAGCATTTTTCCTAGCATTGAACCTTACTTCAAAGACTGGAAAGCTTACAACACAGGTAATAGAGCGAAGCCTTAGGCTGATAAACTGATTGAAGGCAGACCAAGAGCATTACCTATGAGGATTTATTAGGATGGCTCAAAGACTTATTCAGTCTTTTCCTCAAAGGCGGATACGATTGAATTAGCTTTGGACTACGAGAGAGCTAGACAGCGGGGATGAAGGGATTGCAAGGAAGAATCAATGGCCAATGGTTCTACAACTGCAACAACACTTACTGAAAAGACTATTCTACGACCAGCCGCCTACTTAATTACACTTCCGGCATGTTATTAAGCAAGTTCCTTCTTCTGCGAATATGAGATAGACCGACAGCGGTACGGGACTAAGGGACTGTGGGAATAGCGATAGACCGGATTCAAAGATATAGGCCAATCAAAACAAAAGGAAGATGGTGAAAGACCACCACAAAGAGACCCTTGGTCACGCCTTAGTCTTATTCGAAAACAAAACGGATGAACCTTCTCAAGAAAAAAGCCAATTGATTTCGGGGGGCATGTAGGCGGAGAAAGACTGGGAAACTATAAGGTCTCATAGGAAAAAGACAAAACATAGGCAGGCTGCCACGCGGAGTGAGGGTAACTAGCCAATTCCTCAAGGTCTAGTAAACTAAGGTGGTAGTGCAGACAAGGTTAATTCACTCTGGGATTGGTAGTCCCGTTTGCTCTGACGTCGGAATAATCATTATAATACGATGATAGCACCTGATTAGCAAGAAATTACCAACTCTCCTTTTAGCAATGATCTGTTTAGGGCTACTTTCTAAACTGCAGATTCTGTAATAAGACCCTGTTCATGGCCATTCTCTGACTTAGAATCGAATTCATACCCGGCAATCTACGATCTACCTAGCGCCTTAGTTTATGTAGAATAGGCATACCCGACTTCCAACTAATTGTCAAATAAAGCTATTCGTGCTTAAATTCCTAGCTTGAAAGCATTCTTTGAACAAAAATTCCGGTAAACAAGCCTGCGTAGAATACTTGACTTTTCCATGTGCAAGACCACAAAAAGTATTACCCCTTAAAGCTCAGCTCTGCGAAGGCCTTTCGGAGATTGACCTTTCTTTCTCTTCTTCCCGGTCTGATCGGTCGAGCTCTCGTAATTGATCGCTCATATGTCCATTTCGTTCTGGCTAGCAAGTCGGGATATTCTACGTTTAATGATAAATAGTAAAGTTATGAACTCAAGCTAGCAAAAAACAAGACTGAGGTCGATAGGGGAATTACTGGTAATTGCTAAGATGCTTTCTGAAGTCTTAACCATTGGCTAGCGCTCATCTTTAGCTCTGTTTCCAACCTTTCATTTCACATATCATTCCCGTATGCAATACCTCTTATTTAATCTTGCTATACGTCTAAGCCTTCTCCCATCGGTAGTTAGAAGCAGAACTGAAACTGGATATAACTGAAGGAAAGGCTATAGAGGTACGATAGGAGGGTACGGTTAAGCAGGTAAGCGAAGGCTTTCTCTCGCTCTGTGGTCTTGTGTAAAGCCTTTCCGCCTATCTATTCTTTTTTTTTCTCTTTATTCAAAGTAAGCAGATCGAAACATGAAAAGGAATGTCTTAGCGTGCCCTTACTCTAATTCGACATATGTCTCTTTCTTTCTATTCAAATTCCTCTCCCTTCATTCCTCGATCCGCTTGTAAATTCTTGGTGTAATACCCACTCGTAAATGATTGGTGTAAGAATTTCTCACTAATCAGGTATGATCAGTCTCATCCATGTAAGAATTGGAATTTCTCTTCCAACTCATCCCAGAATGGGCGTTATGGCAAAGAACAAGAAGAAAACTAAAGGAGAAATTTTCCAATAGTAACAAAGGGTGCCTGCACAGGTTGACATCCGATCCAACCTAGTAGTAAGCAATCCACCAAAAGCAACCAAAATATTCCTTGGTGAGTCAGGCGAAAATTTGAACTACGTACATGCATACTTTTAAAAACAGGGTAAAGCCAAGACATATAAAAATGGTGCTATTGCGGCTACACCTCCCGATTTGTCAGGTATACTACGAAGAATGGCATGGATCGGTAGGAAATACCATTCTGGCACAATATGAGGCAGGGTGGACATCAATTAGCAAGGTATATAATTGTCGGGATGCCCCAAAACATTAGGAGCATAAAAAATCCAAATGGAAAAAAAGATAGCAAAAGCTACCCAACCTACTAGATCATTTACATAAAAATAAGGGTAAGAAGAATTTTATCCATCTCTGAATGTACACCCAATGGATTATTGGATCCATATTGATGCAATGCGGCCAGATGAAGAAGACTGGCGCCTACTAAAATAAAGGGGAGTAAATGATGAAGACTAAAAAAATGATTTAAGGTGGCATTATCCAGAAGAACCCACCCCAAAGCCAAGTCACTATGGTATCTCCTACTACAGGTATGGCGCTAGCTAAGCTTGTGATTACTGTAGCTCCCCAAAAGCTCATCTGACCCCAAGGTAGGACATATCATATAAAATCTGTCACAATCATTAATAGGAAGATTATAACTCCGAGACACCGAACAAATTCCCTAGGACTGATATAATGGCATGATATAGACCACGAAAAATATGCAGGTGAACCACAAGAAAAACATACTTGCCCCATTAGCATGCATATAACGGAGCAACCAGCCCCCTTCAACATCTCTCATAATGTGTTCTACGTTGTTGAAAGCTAGATCCACATGAGGTGTGTAATGCATAGCTAAAAAAACGCCAGTCACTATCTGAATGACTAAACAAATACTGCTAACGAATCGAACCCCCACCAATAACTAAGATTGCTCGGGGTTGGATAATCTATCAAATATTGATTAAGTGTGGAGGATATAGGTTGTTTAAGAAGAGAGAGGTTGGTTCCTTATAGTCATTTCTTTTTTTCTCTTTTCTATCGTGACAACTCTTGTTCCCCCACCTTTTAGCGTTCTGGGGACCTACTATGTATTAAAATGTTAGTACCATTTCTTCCACCTCCGAAGGATGGAGGGGGTATACAGCAAAAAAGCATCAAGGGGTCAGATCACCCATGGGTTACTGAAGAGTCGTCCGACTTCTCGGTGACCGAATAAGAGAGGTTTTTACCGCTTTCTCTTCTCTCCAGCACTCTCGGACTGATCATCTTGCTGCAACAAAGCAAGCTTAGGAATGAATCTAATGGAAATTTAGGTCTCTGTCCGCTTGGAAGATTATTCTTTCCTCCTCGGCGAAAGAGGGCAAAAAGGGTGTGTGGGAGAAAGAATTCAAAAAGGAGAGAAGATTTCGTCCACCAAGCGGGACAGAGTGCGACCCCTAAGCAATTGGGGGTTCTCGCTCATCTCTTGGGGGTCCACTCATCTGAAAACTTTTCCTCTCATTGCATACTAAATTGAATAGGAATCAGCCTCAGGAAAAGTAAGCCCCCTTTCCTTGATTAATTTGGCTTCGCTGCGCCCTGAATCAATCAAAAAGCTTATTGATTTGATTCATCCCATTTCATTTATTTGGGCGAGAGGGAGGCTGTGAGTCACCTGGGCTACGGATTTTTCCGTTGGTTGATTCTCGAAATTGAAAAAAAAAATCGGGTCCAGACCCACAAATGAATAGGAAGCGAGGCGAGGGTCCTTCATTAAAGGGGGGAAAAGAGGGGTGGGCTTTGTTCTGGGGGGGCCGCCTTGCGCAGCTTTAGAAAGGAGAGAATGACTTTCTGAAATTCTCTCCAACCCTTTCTATCTATCTTTAGAAGTAGGGCGAGAGAAAGTCAATATGATATTTGCGTTGGTTTTTCCAACGAAACTAAGCACTTTTCTTCTTTCTCATTCGGAAGGCTCAGTCCCACACCCTGACTTCAATGATGGGATTAACCTCCGCACTCCAACGCTCCACTAAACTACAGTTCTCCGCCTTACTATATTTAGAATAGTGGTCGATCCTTCGGGAGTTACATTCGTAACAACATTACATGTTATGTTCACGTGGTGATATTCTATCTTTCCAAGAGTACTACCCTGTACATAGTCTATGTCTGGGGAGCATACTTGACAGGAGATATACACAGGCGGTAGAGGGGTCCCCCACTTCGATTCCCGCCCCGTTAGCATCTACCATCCTAGATAAGGGATTAGTCTGTTAGGTCTTTTCGGTCCGGAGCCGGCTGGTAATGGACCTACTTACCTTGCTTGTAGACCTGCTGTGGAGCGAACCCTTGTTCTATTGGTTTTGTGGTTGCTACTAAGACGATTTCTTTATGCCCATCAAAGAACCTCGAGATGCTAATGCACGAAAAAGGATACGAGAAATTTGGAAGAATTCATATACGGAACGAGGGTGACCCGTGTAAATATATCGGTTTCTTACTCGTGCAAAGGAACTCTTTCTTGGCAACTTGGACAATGTAGAACGATGTTTGTCCTGCATAGGAATATCAGGATCTTTACAAAGGGCTTTATAAAGCTTTCGTCTCAATTCATAGTTAGCCTAGCCATGAGCAATCTACGTTTGTGATCTCGTATATTTCGCTTCTACGACATCTTACTGAGTTTCCCCCTCATCTTTTTGCAAAAAGCCACTCCACGGTGGTAAAGTCTCATCTTGTGTGTTGGCCGAAGTTACAATAGTAATATTGAACCCTCGAATATGTTCGAAGATCTCGAAATAATCTTCCAATTCGGGGGAGAATTTGCAAAATTTTGTTTCCATCGAGAATTGAATTGACCTTTCCCTTATTTCGAGCGGAGAATCTAACAGAGACATTACTATGGATATTCTGACCAAAAAATGTGACATTCCATGCCCTCGAAGTGGCTTTGTCATGCTAGGTCACTGACATAACCTTTTTTGTCTTTATTTGACCCCAAGAATGGATTGGATCGAAACGACTTTCCTGTTGAAGCCCTTTGTTTTAATTTCTGGCCGTACGAAATCTCCATAGCCAATTTTCCATTTTTGATAGAAGGTGTTGTCTTTGGTACTACTATTATTTTACACGATCCAGGAACTTCCAAAACGTTGGCGTGATTCGGTTTGAGCAACGGATCCTGACGAGATACATCCTCGTACTGAAAATAGAGTGAAAACATGAGCTGATCCATAATGAGTATTAGATTGAAGTTCTCTTAAAGAAGACCACCAACTCCTATCCTGAAGATACAAAGCACCCGGTCCTGTTCTCTTGTGTCGAAGTGTAGTGTAGTGTGGTGAGGTTTTGCCTCACAGAAAGAGTGGGAAATTGGGATAAAAAGGGAAGAATTTACGCTCTTTCAAGTTCAAGAAAGAGCTTTAAGTCCTTTATGGCCCTTTCAACCCGCCGAAATGGAAGGCTTTGCACTGTACCCAACTAGAGAATCTCCTTCAGGTGCAAAGCATAAGTCCTTTCACTAAAAGCTTATCCCATTGGGGAGAAGATGATCCCCCTGATCTAGTGCCTCTTCGCAAGAAGAGACTCAACCGAATAGTCCCGTCCCACAAGTGCAACTTGAATATGTTTTTCAATCTGCACTTGCGTATCAACAATAGAGTCTATCATTTCTTCCCTATAAGTTTTCCCTCATAAAATGGTTCTTAACCTACTCGTGAGCTCCGCTCGACGGGTGTTGTCATAGAGAAGCGGAGGGTGGAGCTCTGGGATCAGGGGTGGTTGATTACCCTGACCTGGGGTTGGATCCGACAAGGAAGGTGAATTCCATAGATCCGTTTGGGAAATGGAATAGGTAGGGCTCACTTGTTGCACCTCCTCCCCAAGGTCCAGTGCAGGGAACATGTCCAAAAGTCCTCTGGAAAAAAAGGACGACGGGGGAGAGGCTGATGCGGCGGAGTCATTTTCCTCCAATAAGTTGAGGTACTTTTCCCAATTATCCTACCCCGACACTGAATCCACCGCCCTTCCTCCAGCGAAATTATCATCCATGTGCAAGCTGCTACAACATCCTACCAAAGTGACGAGCAAAAGAAGAAGGATAGGCATTTCCAAACCAAAGAGCCTAAAAAGAGCACGTAAGGCATGGAGTAAAAAGAACCTTTGACCCTCTCCATAATAAGGTAGGGATCAAAGCCAATCCAATGAGATAGGAGCCAAGTAGTCAAAACAAGGGAGTGTCATTTACCACCCGAGCAAGGCTAATGTGGTGGTGGATGCTCTTAGTTGATTAATAATGGGTAGTGTTGCTCATATTGAGGATTATAAGAAGGAATTGGTTTGTGATATTCATAGATTGGTCTGATTGGGGTTGTTGGTTGATTCTGATGAAGGTGGTGTTATGGTTCATAATGGTTCAAAATCGTCTTTTGTGTCATATGTGAAAGTCAAGCAAGGTCTTGATCTGATTTTGGTTCAACTGAAGGAAATGGTGCTTAAAAGTCTGTTAAGGCTTTCTCACGAGGGGAAGATGGTGTGCTTTGGTATCAAGGTTTATTTTGTGTTCCCAATGTTGATTACTTGAGAGAATAAATCTTATTAGAAACTCATAGTTCCAGACATTCCATTCACCGGGAACCACCAAAATGTACCGTGACTTGTGGGAGGTCTATTGGTGGAATGGGATGAAGAAGGATATCGCGAAATTTGTGGCTAAGTATCCTAATTTTGAGCAAGTGGAAGTTGAGCATCAAAAGCCAGGAGGTTTATCCCAAGACATTAGAATTTCTACTTGGAAGTGCGAAGATCTGAATATGGACTTTATTGTGGGTTTACCCCATACCCTGTAGTAACATGACTTGATTTGGGTTATTGTTGATCATAAGACGAAGTTGGCACATCTCATTCCCATCAAGGTTTCCTATTTGGCGGAAGACTATGCTAGTTGTATCTAAAAGAGATGGCTAGGTTGCATGGCGTGCCCCTATCCATTATCTCCGATCATGGTACCTAATTTACTTCTCAATTTTGAAGTCTTTCCATAAGGGCCTTAGTACTTGTATTAAGCTTAGTACGACCTTTAATCCTAAAATCTACGGGCAAGCGGAGCGTACTTCTCAAACTTTGGAAGATATGTTGACAGCTTCTGTGATAGACTTCAAGGTTAATTGGGATAATCACTTGCCTTTGATTGAGTTTGCATATAATAATAGCTATCATTCAAGTATTGGTATGGCTCCATTTGAGGCTCTTTATGCAGGAGGTGTATATCACTTATAAGTTGGTTTGAAGATGGTGAGGTACTTCGATAGGTCCCGAGTTGGTACATGAGGCTATGGAGAAAGTTTGTCTTATTAGAGAAAAGTTGAAAATGGCTCAAAGTCAACAAAAGTCCTATGTTGATGTTAGAACAAGAGATTTATAATTTGGGGTAGATGATTGAGTTTACTTGAAAATTTTACCTATGAAATGTGTAATGAGGTTTGGAAAGAAAGGAAAGCTTAGTCCTCAATATGTAGACCCATATCAAATTTTGAGGCGCATTGGAAATGTTGCTTATGAACTTGATTTGCCTAATGACTTAGCATTGGTGCATTCGGTTTTCAATGTCTCTTTGTTGAAGAAATGTGCTGGTGATCCAACATCTATTGTACCATTGGAGAGTCTTGGTATAAATGAGAGTCTTTCTTATGACGAAGTTCTGGTTGAGATTTTTGACTGACAAGTTAAAAAGTTGAGAAACAAGGAAGTTGCATCCTTAAAAGTGTAGTGGAGGAATCAAAGGGTTGATAGTGCTAGAGATCGAGGTCGATATGATGTCCCGTTATCCCCATCTCTTTCCCTCCGATCCTACTCAAGCTTGAGGTATTTAGCTCTTTATGGTTCATTCTTTCGAATTCATGTGTCTTAGTCATTCTTATGTTTCCTCATGCATGCATGCTTATGAAAAAAAATTGATCTTTGAGGAAATAAGTTAGCTTGATTGATTACTTCATGGTTATGTGCATTCGACTATGATTTGCATGTATGTCTTATAAAATGATATTTTGAATATGATTTAGCTCAGACTCGATGTTCCTCCTTAGTTATGTGTATTTTGATAAAATTGCATTCATGTTGGGTTGTTAGTTTCTCTCCTACTCTATTCATGACAGCTTGAGTCCCATTCAAGGACGAATGTTCCCAAGGGGGAGATATTGTAACACCTCAAATTTTGGAAAAGAAAGAAAGGGATTTTTGGGCTGCAGGTTGTGTCTACGGGTCCCCATCTACGAATTGTAAAAACTTCTACGAGCCGTAGATGACATTTGTAGAAGAGGGAAAATAACTTTTTGAAAAGTCAAGTACCAGTACCTCTTTTTACGGTTGAACAGAACGACCCGCCAACCATTGTACGAGTCGTTGATAGGTCTCGTAGGTAAGTCTTAGACGTAGTGAAATTTTGAGGGTTAAGTTGGTTTTTATTGCTGGTGTCTACAGATCGTAGGAATACCTATGAGTCTTAAACAGGTTTCGTCAAAGTTGGTCCAATTCTAAAAGTTTTGTACTTTCCTACGGCTGACTAGTACGGTTCGTAGAAAGTCCTACGGATCGTATGTCCAAACAGTAGAAGGGTCCGACAGTTAATTTTAAGGGGCTTTTGAGTCTTTTTCCTAAATTATTAATGCCTAAACTAGGTCATTTTGGTCCTAATCCTAAGCCATATATAAGTCTTTTAGGCCCTAAAACTACCCATTATAAATCATTCCCCTAAACTCCTAAATTCCCTCCAAATTCATCACCTCCAAATTTCCTCAAAGTCAAGGAAGAGCAAATTAGGGCTTCAAGCACCAAGGTGTCAAATTCACCATAGCAATTGGGCTGTGAGCTCTAAGGTATGTTAGTATTCACCTATAGAGTCCTTTCCTCCACAGGATTCCTAAAACCTCTAATTTTACAAGTTAGATTCTCAAATCAAAGTTAGAGTTTTATTCAATCTTCATGGGTTCTTTTCAATTATGATCTAATTGATTATTTTCTATCTTTTTATGCATGAATTGAAGTAATTATATGCTTTTGAGTTGAATTCACATGAACCCATGCACGATCCATGATTTCTAGACTATGATTATATGATAAAGATTATGAACTATTAAAGATGAATTCATGAAGACATGCATGTTCTTTTATGAAATTGATATAAATGATTTAAGGTTGCTTTGACAGTAAAGCATCGATGTTGTTGTTGTTGTTTCAAAAGGTTTCTCACATAAATGATTTGTAAGGTTTAGAATGTTTTCTCACCTAAGTTGAATCATGATTAAGGAGCTATTATAAATGAACTTTAGCTTTGATTGGTGGCTTAATTATATCCTTCCATGGATGATACTACGAATATGATTTCTGACTATTCCATGAGATTTTACTTAGCATCGAGAGGACTTTGAGATGAAGTCTCTTCCATTAGTAGAGATCGGGTCTCTAGAAGAAATATCCTTTGTCCCTAACTACGTGCCCCCATAGGATTTGTCTTAGAAAGACATAACTAGTGGATCCACCTAAGCTAGAAGTTTACGGTTCTTACCTTGACAAGTAAGGATATCTTTTCGGTGTGGAATAGACATCGAATTCCATGTTATAGCTCATATGGTTTATGTCAGTTATATTGTAAACTTACCACAATATTGAACTAAGGTTACTTTATGAAAGTATCTCACAAGTGTTTTAAAGATGTTTAACTTGCATTGACCATGATTATGACTTATGTTTTCTAACCCTTTTCTCTCATGATTTAAGCTTGGTCATTACTTGTCATGCAAAGTCCTTCTTAGCATGATTTCATAATTATGCATTGTTATCATACTTAGTACATTCCATATACTAATACATATTTGTGCCTATATTGTTTCACTAATGTAGGGTCCGACGCTCCTACCTTCCATAATCGTGGCTAGTTGGTTCTATTGGCTTTGAAGATTGGTGAGTCCTCATGTTTTGAGGACCGAGATACTTTTATAGCTTTATGTCATTTCATTTTCAGACTTTGTATGTGATGTATGGGTTACATACCAATCACTTTTCTTATGATGTATTAGATGTCTTATTGAGACTTATGTTAGAATTCCGTTGTTGTCAAACTCATTTATGATATAAAACTCTTTCTTTGGAAATCTTTTTTTCTATTATATTGTATGATGTATGCTAAGTGGTTTGTGGGCCTCTCAGGGTTTTATATGTCATGTTACGCCTAGAGTATACTTTGGGTCGTGAAACTTTATGCTTTTCTGGAAATAATACTTTCTTTATAAATGTTAAAATAATACATTTGAGATCATTAAAGTTCCCTTAAAACTCTTCTCAATGATGCTTTAAAATTACTCTTAGACTCTCTTAAAATTCCAAAATCAATACAAGGAAATAATTGCACAACTACTTTCAACAATATCTCATCAACTAAGGTTAATGTGAAAATATAAGCATGAACAACAAGTATCTCAATGCATAAAGTATCATAATCTCATAATTAAGAAATTAGAACTCGAAATAAGAACACAATTCAGATTTAAAATTTCATGGAACTTTGGGTAGAATACTGGATTTAATTCTTTCTGACTGAATTTATATGTAGGGTGGAGGATGAACTTATTCCAACACTATGAATAACCTTACATACCTGGAAGAACGAAGTTCTTGAGGAACCTTGAAGAACTTAAAAGAACACTTGAAAATACTAGCTTTCTCTGCTTGGATCGTTGCTCTAAGTCTTGGGAGTGTTTATGAGACCTTTAGGATCAAACTACACTGATAGGAACCTTAATTAAGTGTAAAAACTTCGGGATTTAGATATAGGGCCTATTTTGATGGGCTTATAAAAAATAACTTATAAGTCAAAAGTTAAAAGTCATAAGTAGATGGTACCCTACTTTTGACTTATTTTAAAACTTTTTTGGTCTAAAAGTGGGTTCTTAAAAGCACTTTATAACCTTTCCAAACACCCCCAAAACAAAAAAACTACCTAAAAATCAAAAGTACCGAAAAATAAGTTAATCCAAACTAGCACTTAGAAGGGGTGGGAAAAGACTGAACTAACCCCACTTAAGAACTATAGGTCCACTTCTACAAGCACCAAGTACGGTCCCTACAGGCTTCTACAGATCGTATTGATCAACCGTAGAAAGACTACTGGAGACTAACTTCTAGATCAAATTCCACAGTCCAGGGTCTACGATCGGTAGAACGACCTATGACTTG